GGGTGGGCAGGGAGGGCAGAGCGAGCAGGCAGGGTAGAGGGAGGTCAGGGATGACAGGGCGATAGGGACGGTTCGGGATTTGACATGAGCAAATCAGTGTTGGTGCCTTACTTACAAAACAACAACGACAAAAAAAAAAGACTTTGCCATATCATGGTGACTGTTTTATGGGCTGGGGCTGAATTCGATTGCTGGAATTGAGATTCTGCACTCACACCTAGGAGTTGGTTGTAACGATCGAACACTTGTACAAAACTAACCTCGCCTTTCTTTTATTCGTACAAGTGTCTGATAGTGACAACTAACTCCCGGCTATGGGCATCGGATTCTTGATTTCAGCTATCGAATTTAGCCTATCTAACAGAGTTGATCCCGAAAACAGTCTCTTTTTCGCGTTATAGAGACACACACATAGTGGCCGTTTTGCCCCGTCGGAGCGAGTGGAATAGTAGTCCGCATGCAGTCGCGTGGCCGGGTATTAGCCTAGTGCCCTGTGCGAATAGGTTACCCTAGTTCTGGGCTGTCGCTCCAGGGCAAAATGGCCACTCTGTATACCAAACCACAGAGGCAAACAACACGACCAGCTGATGATAATCTCAATGCTTTATGCAAGGAGAAACCACCTCTAGGGAGATGCCAGAGTCCTACTATCATTATCACAATGAAAATGCTTCTTCGTTTTACCCGAGCACACCTCCTACCTAGGCCCAGTTCGCTGTCCAATAAAGAGTCGAAGGGGGGAAAAGTTTGGCAGTAGTAGCACCAGCGGGCACCGACGGGCACCTAGGTAACTAAGTACGATCGTCCCCCTGGTCCTCGGCTGAGTTCACGAGGGCGAAGAGCAGCCAGCGAATCCTAAAGAAGGGCCAGAAGTGAGAGAGGCGTGGCGGAGCGTGCGCGCGAGAGAGGAAGAGGGCCGAGAGTGAGAGTGAGTTAAGGAAGGAGAGCGGGGGAAAGAGATGTCGAGAGGGGACTGAAGGGGTTTGGTGACGACAAAAGAAGGGGGAGGAGGTATCTGAGAGTTAGGCTGAAGGGTCTGGGCGCAGGGACCTGGACTCTTGGATCGGGCTCGAACGTGTGTAGATCTTCGAGAGGCATCCTCCGTGGGTGTGTGCCCGTGTGTGTGTGTGTGCCCGTGTGTGTGTGTGTGTGTGTGTGTGTGTGTGTGTGTGTGTGTAGTGGTGGAGTACAGAGAGGCTGGGGAAGAGAGGACACGGTCCCTGGGGGAACAATGCGTGCTGCCGAACATACGGATGGGATTATTGGACCGACTCACTGTGCTCGAGTAAGTGCGTGGGCGTGGGTGTATGTTTTTTTTTTGGTGTGTGTGTTGTGTGTGTGTGTTGTGTGTGTGTGTTTGATAAGGGTATTTGAAAAGCAGCAGCCTGAAAAATAAATGGGTCCCGCGGAGTCTGGTCTCGATCATACGCTGCGTTTAATTTCTTCTCTTCTCTCCTTTTGGACCGTATCTACAGCCGCCGCTGCCGCGGAGGTCAACCACCGCACGACAGAGGAGGCTGTGAAGAGGAAAATGGAGAAAGATAGTGGCGTGGTAGGGCCCGACAGAGTACCCGGCGCTCGGACACTCGAGGGAGGTGTCAGCGCCGGGCGCTGCCCGCACCCCTTTGTTCGTCAGCCCCCCCCCCCCCCCCCTCCAAGGTTCGGGCGGGGTGACGCGTCGCTGGGACGTGACGCGGGAACTCTTTAATCCAGAGTGGCATAGGACAGTCATTAAAAGTGCGTCGGGCCTCTCGAAGACGGCCGTGCGAATCAACGATGGGAGAGCAAAAAGGGTTTGGCAAAGAAAGGGAGTAGAGCGTTGGTTGGGAGGGAAAAGCACAAATTTTTCTGGTTTTAACTCAAATAAATCCCTATAAGGTCAAAAGAGTTTCTTGTTATTCCAGACAAGGTCTTGAATCTTATGGAACGCCAATTGAAATATAGAAAAAAAACAAAACAACTATTTTTACCCATCACCTTCAGCTGTCATGTTTTGGTAGAAAAATTATGAAGCCAAAGGCCTTCAACGAAAGTACAGTACTAATTTGCAAACAGAGTCGGACTCGGGCCGAATCAAGATTTCACAAAGGATACAGTTGACACCGTTTAAATTTGTTGTCCTCGGCACGCTCTTTTCTCACTCCCCCTTTTTTTCCCTCGAACCCTATCAACGGAGAAAATGAAATGGAATCTTGCCGTTGATAAATAAGAGTGAAATCGGCCGGAGAGGGGCGGGGGGGGATGCTTATCGGACATTGTTAGCATAAGCCAATAATGCCCCTCAGCAGCTGTCGAAGCAGATGCAAGAAAAGGCTGCGGCAGCTGCGGGTGCGACTGCTAATTTCCTTAATGTCACGGCAGGCACCAGCTTTCTCGGGCGACGCGCGCCACAAAACCCTCGCGATACTCGCAAGGTTATCCGAGACGAGAGGCCCACGCAAAGGGCGTCGGTTAGCTGCCTCCACGAGCAGCAGTCCCGCATGTTGCCATGCACTTTGGATGGGATGGCGCGACCTTGTACGCATATGCGCCGGGGCGTCTCTGACAGATTTACAAAGACATTTTAAGGACGCCTCCGCATGCCACTGCCTGCCTCTCTCTCTCTCTCTCCCTCCCCCCTCCCCCTCTCTGTCTGTCTTGCCCTGTACCTCACCTTGCTCAGCGCGTTGTTGACATTCCCTTTGTGAGGCCTGTTGCTGCTGCTTTGCCCGCGCAACTTTATCAAAGCTTGATGGCGCGGCGTAGCGCGGCGCGTCCCTTCCTCTCCCTCCCCCCCACCCCTTCCCCTCCGTGTGATCCTGGTCTCTCTTTAACCCTTCCCCTTCTCCCCCGTGACCTCCTTATCTAGTTTGTTGCCATCTCCCTCCCTCCTCACCGAGCCCCGGGGGTCTGCTCGGCGCGGTGTCCTCCTGCAAATTAATGCGTGTGTGACAAACAATTCAGCGCGGAAATGTCGATAAGAGTGATGCCGTCGGCTAGAGGCTCCGTCCGAGACAGGCTCCATCTAGAGCCCCCGGCTAGCCTAGAACCGGCATAGGGAAGGGTGACTTAGAAATGCAACAAAACGGTGCCAATAGAACACACGCTCAAATCTGAATTAGACTTTGACTGCTCAACAAACAAACTCAGGTTACTGTTAAAATGAGTGATAAAATTATGGATGATGCTACAAATTTTCAGAGAATAATACTTATCTATCCCTTTTATGTAGATGGATGAATGGATAGATGGATGCGAATGGATAGATAAAGGGTGGCTCATGCGCACGCATTTATATCCATTTCGTGCATTCTGTTGGGCGCGGCGCCCCATGTTCCCGGCGGGCCTTTCCGGCCAATGCAAATAACGCTCAGAGAAAATATAGCAGTGGTTTTATCCACCTGTTGGTCCGTGCAACGCTCCGCCACGCCCCGCCACGCCGACACGCGACATGCTACTAGCCCCCTCACATTCCTTAACTCTATAACCTGCACTCTATACCTCTCTCACTCACGCCTGAAGGCCCCCCGCACGCTTCCCTCCTCCTCCCCCTCCGCCTCCCTCTAACCCATTCCCCAGCACTACGTCGTTCTGTTCCACACGCTCCCGCTCTTACGCTTTCGCCCCCGGCAAACTGGACCATTCAAGTGACGCGTGACGCTTTCAGCGGCCAAGTCACAGCAACTGAGGTACTCTGTAAAATTGAGAGCAGGTCTCTTCTCTGATTTCCAAGAACAACACAACTACCCGATTGATTAAAAAATAGTGGTAGGCCTGCAGGTGCACAAATCCCACCACTACGTCCGCACACTGTATGTTTGCAAACTACATTCTTTGCAACATTGCAAAGAATTAGAATTGCAGAGAAATTCCTTTCAAACAATGTATTTGCATTGCAAAGAAATAGTTGTCAACCTTGAGAATAACTTGTTTGCAATACGAACCTTCTCATTGCATGCGTTTGGCAGTACAGCTCAACAATTTCGCCAAATACAAAATACGAAAATACTGCAGAAAGTCCAAAATCATTTAAATTTGTGCGTACGGAAATAATCGTTTACTTCCGAGTCCGAACCCGAGAGCTTGAGCGGCCGCACTTCCACCCTCTCTCCCTTCCTCACTTACACGCATACACTCACTGCTAGTTCAACGCCCGGCTTCTGTCTCTCTCCTTCGCAGGAAACACAGACGCAGGTCGCCGCAGCATGAACATGTGTTTTGCTAATTTCAAGGCAACCTTTACCCACCCCCCCTCAACCCCTTCTCATCCGCCCCACAGGAGGAGGCGCACGGCGGGGGTTCTCAAGAGAGGACGTTTAACTAATGAGTGCCAGCTCGTACTTCGCTTACGGCCGCAGGCCGCCTCCTCACGCGAGTACGGAGACAAAGCGGAGACAACGACCCATACGTGGAAAAAGGATAATTTCATTTAAAAAAACAAAACAATGCGATTATTGGAAGTTTCAGGACGCGTAGCACCCAACACCAAAAATATAGCAGTATTCCAGATATTCCATGTACACGAAAAAATCTGAGTCGTCAACCCCTCGCACCATGAATTTCCGTAACGCATTCCTCAACTGCCATCGAAGAATTAAGGGAAAAACGGGAGAAAGGCAATTTCCTTCTTTTTTTTTTTCAGGCCCCTGTGAAACGGGATATAGGCCACGGCGACGCGCGCGTGACGGCGGGTTGCCTGCGCGCCAGGCGGCCAACGCACGCCGGGCTAGCGGCGGCCCGGATCAGAGGTCGCACCGCGCAGCGCGCTGTACCGCTCACTCGCACTCAGAAAACCGTTTCTGTGTGGGGACGAAATCAAGACTTTGACGAGAAGAAACATTTTTTCAGCTCAACAAAAATTTGTTCAATTTATAACGAAATTTCGTTTCTGTAAACATTTTTATTTTCATCCGAACAAAACATTTGACTTTGGCTACTGGCAGGAAATTTTCGTTTTAGTAAATCAAATTTCTTTCCATCAAAGAAATAGTTTTCAGGCTGTGGGGGAGGGCTTCACTTACCGGCATGTCGTCGACCAGCCACGTGATGTTGGGGGCGGGGAAGGACGGACCCACCGAGCAGTTGGCCCTGATGTGGTCGCCGGTCGTGAACCGGTGCTTGTCCACCGCGATGGTCGGCGGCCTCTGCGGCGGCACTGGAAACGCAAACAGATGGGTTTAATCATTTTGTCCCAGGTGTCAGTCAAATTATTCAAAGGTCGCGCATAAAGTCTGTCCTTGAGTTGAGGTGAGCAGGAAGGCTCAAGGGCAAGGGTTTCGGTCGGTTAAAGGCAAGATCCGCTGTCGGCGAGCCGTACTGTGAGTGAAGATAGGGGGGGGGGGGCGCTTCGAGGGGCAAGGTTCTAATTAGAACGCAGCGGTGACGCTCAGGTGATCGCACCGCGAGGGGCGCGTGAAGAAGAACGAAAGGGCGAGTGACTAAGAGGGCGGAACGGAGAGGGGCAGTAGAGAGGCCAGAGGAGAGAAGCTGGTAGAGAAAGCGAAAGCGAGAGGCGAGCCTGTGGGGGGCCTAGCTGCTGTTGCCATGTTTGCTGCTTCTTCAAACACAACCTGAGTGCGCTTCACACTGCGTTCATTACGTAGTTAGGCCCTGCTCAAAGGAGGATGGGCGGGGCGTGGCGCGGCGTGGCGTGGCGTGCTGGGGCGGGCCGGGGGCGAGGAAGAGTGTCTCATGTACCTGGCAGCCAACAGGCTTAATCGCACCGCGACATCCCCCCACCCACCCCCAACCCCTCCGACAAGCTCTCCTTGCTCACACGATGACGTCCCCCCGAGGACAGGAGGAAATTTTGGTGGGCGTTATTTACAAATTTCATTCAATATAACAAAGCGTTCAAAATTGAAAACTTTTTCACTGTGAAAAATATCGTCGAAAATTTACAAAAGTTTTGTAAACTCGAATTATAATTGAAGTTGTGATTTTACGACAGCAGATTTTTTACTCGCCAATGAATTAAAAGTCGATAAGTACAGCATGATTTCAAATTGTAATTTTACAACTTGCGTCAAGGAAAATTTTCCTGTAAACCTACCTACTATTTTTCATAGTGTTAAAGGACAAATAGAAAAATGTAGGAAAAAAGATTTTTCAAACGGAAATGTCAAATACCTTTTGAACAATAAGTCGCGTTGTGATTTATCTGCTGATGTCCTTTTGCCTTTAGCTATAATTCGCCAGATTTAATCTTGTCACCCAATTATTTTGTAGCTGCTCTCTCTCTATTGCAGGAATAACACATCCGCTTTGCATTCATCGTAACGGTACCACTTGCCGGTATAAGAGAGGGGAGCAGGGGGCGCTACATTTGTCATGAGGAGGATTCGGTTTCAGCCCGGACTCGCTGGCAATGCGAAGGGCGGAGCGAGCGATGAAAGGGGAGGGGTTTGAGGAGGGCTTCTGATACTGACATGCAATTTACATAATGCTACGCGCACCAAGTAAAAATAAAGATACCAAAAGATGGCACGAGAACGAGAACCCCATTAAACAAATTATATAGTAACCGATATCATGGCTGCCACGACGCACTATCATTATCGCAACCCACGTGACGACGCGCGCAAAGGGTTGTTACTCACACACACGCGACAAAAGCGGGGCAAAGTGATAAAAAAGACAAGACTGAAAGAAGGCGCGCGGCGAAGGAAAGGGCGAAGGAGGAGGAGGAGGCAGCGGAGCAGAACTCGCATTGGAAATGCATGTTTTCCTCCCGACCACAACGCACCGCTGGCGGGGCAGGGCAGAGCTGCCGGCATAACTTGCTTTCATACGATATGTCGCGAGAAAGTGCGGGGGAGGGGGGGGGGGGGAGAAGAAAGGAAGAGGTTACGAAACGAGGACCGGAAGAATGCCATCACGGGGCCAAGTTTGGGTCTGCTTTCATCCTGAGTGGGCGTCAGCGCGGCACGTGTAGAGTGGGAGGGGCGTAAGGTAGCGGCGCATGTGCGCTACATACTCCTCACGGATAACACGCTTTTACTCAAAAGATTCACGTTGGTCACAGAGAGTCCGAAAGGCGCAAAAATAAAAATAATAATGCCCTTCATTTATTTTGTAATGTTACATTATTATTAATTACTATACAGACTACACAATTTCACAAGGCAGACTCATATTAAACGTAGGTAGTAAGTTCGTTCCGCAAAGCAACCTTTACGACAGCAAACATTAATTTTGATGAAAGGTAAAATCAAAATAAAACGTATTGCTGCGAGAGTAATTTCGAATCGTTACTTGATCGTTTACTATATTTCATTTGTGATTCCAGTATTCAATTCATGACCCGTTTAAGTGGGAAGCACAAACTAATTCTAAAGTTTGCTCCCCAAAAATTGTGCTTCGTTTTCTTAATATTAATTAACACGTTGGTTCGGGAAACAAACTCTTTTAGCAAACTGCGTCAGCTTCAATTAGAGCACCCAAATCAGCTGTGTGCCAGCCGTGGGCTACGTGTCTGCGGCTGTAGAGAAAAAGGGGGGAACGCTCCTCGCCATAAAGCGACCAACACGCGAACAAAGTTTGCCCCAGGGTTTGTGGCGGCGTTGCGCCGGGGCCGGGGCAGCAGCGTGGGACGGCATCATAGGTAGGTGAAATATTACATTTTGAACGAGACTTTTCGTGGCAGCGGGCGCTCTGCAAAAGAGATGACGAAGAGGTAGGGGGCAGGAGGGCGACAGAGAAAAGAGAGAGAGAGGGAGGCGGGAGGAGTGAGCGGAGAGCGGAGGGCAGGCCCCCGAAAACAACAACCGGAACTGCCGTGACCCGCAACCTCTTCAGTACTTCCTTCTTCCTTCCTGTATATCCCTCACCTTTCTCTCTTCCTCTCGCACTCTCTTACCTTGTCTCCCCTTCTCTCGCACCTTCTTTCACTCTCTGATTTACTGTAGCACGCGTCTACCGCCACACCCAACCCCGTCCTCATCCCCGTACACTACCCTTTCTAGCTGCTTTGGTCGGTTTACCTCTGGGGGTGATGTGGCGAGGTTGCGGAACCGCGTGCGCCAGAGACAGGCGAATGATAAGGGCGAATAAAAGCGAGAGAGAGAGAGAGAGGGGGGGGGGGAGCTGGACATGAAGGGCGAGCAGGGAAAGGGGACGAGTAGAGGAGAGAGAGACAGAAAGGAGCGGGAGATGTTTAGCGGGACAAACAAGTTTTGCTCTTCAACTCTGCTCCAAGATGTTCTCACACTTCGTCCCAAACTACTCCTATTACGCACATAAACGCTTGCTGTGCGCTGGGTTATTGCCTCCCTAAAGAAGTCCAATTCCCCTAACACAGACGCAGGCCTAAGCGGTGTAACGGGAAGAGGAGGGGGCGGGGAGGGCAGTCAGTAAGAAGAAAAAGTGGGGGAATGGGGGAAGGGGGTTAAAAAAGGAGCACACTTGACGAGGAAACGGCTTGCTGAAGTTTTGTCTTTTCATAGCAAGGTGTCATAATTTTAAGCCTCGCACGCTGTGACTCTGTCGCTGCTGCTCCCGACGACTTTCAGCGGAGGGCAGGGGCTGTCTAGTAACGAACGGAAGGTGCCTTCAGAACAAAATTATGAGCAGGAAAAAACCCAGAACAAACAGAAACAAACTCCAGTGTAAAGGGCACTACATTCTACGGAGTATGGCAGAACATGTTGGATTTGTCACATGCACGCTATGTACTTTGGCGCGTGACACATCGCCGAACACAAGTACACGGAAAAAAATGACTTCGTTGTGAGGATCAATTTTGTTTGGTAGGCTGAATTCGATAGCAGGAATCGAGAATCCGATTCCAACAATCAGGAGTTGGTTGCAACGACCGACGACCGGACCCTGGTACGAAGAGAACCATGCAAGCTGGGGTTTGTTCTCTTCGTACAAGTGTTCGGTCGTGGCAACCAACTCCTGGTTGTGGGTATCGGATTCTCGATTCCAGCTATCGAATTTAGCCTACCAAACAGAACTGATCTCCACAACAAAGTCATTTTTTCCGTGTAAGGAAAAAAGCTAATAAGTACTGACGTCGGATTGAAGAAAGATGAATAAATCACCCTTGAGTTTAAAAGGCAACCAACGTGCTTAGTGCCGAAAAATGCCATTGCCAATTGGTTAAACGCTTCCCCGTTTCCATCACCGAAAAAACTGCAACAATCATAGTATTTATGAAAACGATATCACCCAAACCAGTAATCCTTTCAATGTCGTCAGTTAAATGCCAGTGGTCGCGCACACATGTGAACCCTCACACAATTCATTTTTTTAAAGGTTCATACAACGTAGCCGGAGCCAAAGATTCGAAGACTTCCCCCTCCAAACATACGCACACAAGGGCACGCGCGCGCGCACTCACACAAACCGTATACGGTCAGCTCTGACAGCTCCGGAAATTGGAGTGTGAGAAATCCGCAAATAAACTAGTCACATCCGGAGGGAAAGTCCCGCGCGCGGTGTAAGCAGACAGTGGGGGTGGGGATACTTGTGCCCCCCCCCCCCCCCCACGCATGCTTCTTGGCCCGGCCCCACACCCATATGGTGCTCTTTTGGACACTTGCCCTGGGCCGGGCCTGGCTGAGGGACGAGCCCCAAATTAAATCTCCTTCTTGAAAGCAGTAACTGACGGCCGCGGCAGCAGCAGCAGCGCCACCGGAAGCGCACACAAACACACACGTACACACACGTCGAAAAGACGAAAAGCACATTTCCGCGGCGCTCTCTGCCCCCGAAGAAAAGAACTCACACTTGACGGATGAAGATTTTTGCGGAGCAGCGTGGTATAGAAGCGGCCGGTCCAATAACGTGTAGGCGTATATGTGTATTTGAGAGAGAGAGAGGCACACGTCAGGTTAAAGAATAAATTTCTCATGGTGTATGCCGTACTGTACATGTGCTACTGTCTGCACTGTTAAATAATTCTCGCAAAAGCTTTTTTTGCAGACACGTTGCAAATTGCAAAGGATTTAAATCCCTATTTGTAAACTACGAACGAAGCATTACGATACTTTGCAATTGCGAAGATATGGTGTTTGAGAGAAATGAGAAAACATAGTTTGACTTTTGACAGTTCTGTGACGTAGGGCTGCACAATCCGTCATAGTCGCGCTGTTTCCCTCACTGCACTTAAAGTACCCCTTCATGGCCTCTGAAGCCAGTTTGTCTTTGAAG